CTAGGGTTTGATGGGTTATTTTTTTTATCTTGAAAGCCAAACTAGTAAATGTTAGCAAATGCAGGATGTGAGGGTGTCTTGCCTTCTGCCATGTTATGTTTGGAAAAGGGTCTCCCTCTGCCTCACAGGGGACGACCAGTTCTCTTCCAGCCTCTTGCCTGTACTCCCCTCCAGGAACCACGGAGAATTTTGGAGGATCCTGGCAGCAGTGGAACAAGTGGGACTGAGAGTTAGTGAACAGCAGCATGGGCTTTACACATCAGGTGTTTAAGCATTATGAAAGACCTTTAGCACCAAGGGAGCAGGAGAAGACCACCCCATGGAACCCAGGGCATTGTAAGGCATGCAGGCATAGGTGCCCAGGGAGTCCTCTGTCACCTCTGCCACACGGATGCTCCCATCGTCCATTTGGCTCCATCCAGGGTACTGTTGATGGAGATGTCATGAAAATAGGATCACAAGGTAGTACAAGTAAAATGAATGTATTCAAAGCTGCAGCACAGCATCACCTTATCTATCCGCAGAGGGAGGCCATCTTTTTTCCACTTAACCAGTGTTAGAGGGGGGTTGGCATCTACTGGACAGCGAATAATCCCTGGCAGACCAATGGCCACGTAGATGACCGGTGGCATGTTTACCACTCGGGCAGGATCTGGTAAAAACCACAGAGGAAATTAAATATCTCTTTTAGGGAAACTGCTGCAGGAGCTGGCTCGCCCACTCACTCACTCATGAACTCATGCATTCACTCAGTCTGAGGAAATCCACATCTGCATGGGGAGATCATGCTAACTCCACACAAAACCGTTGCAGCTGGGATTTGAACCTGCAACCTTCTTACCACCAATGCGCACCGTCACACAGCCCCCTACAGCGAACATTTAAGAGGGAATTCCCAGCAGAACAGTGTGATGCTTTGTGGATGAGAGGGTTCTGTGTAGCACTAGTTATTACACATGGGTGGAGGGAACCACCAGCAACAGGAGGAAGAGGAAGCTTAGCACGGGGGTGGAAGGAGGGAGAGCCAGAGTCTCAATGACGTAAGGCAGAGAGAGCTGTTGGCAGAGAATGGGTGACGAGTTGTGCAGCAGGAAGAAAGGTGTTATGAAAGTGAGGTGGTAAACCCACAGCTGCTCAACAGCTGTCCTCTGCAGCTCAGACTGCTTTCCCAGCCAGCACCCTTCACCCAGAGGGAAGCTGCCAGCAACACCACACACATGAATACCAGCCATGTTTCTAAATATAGCCCTGAGACAGCCCAATCACTCACAACACACTGGGTTTGCACTGCTAGGTGCTCAGAGGAAATTATTCTCTGTCATAGCTCAGATAAAAATAAAACACTTACGATCATCAGAGATGAACTAAATGGAGAGAGTTAGCAAGACTAGAGAACACAGTGAGAGCCCCCTGCAGTCTGGTGTGAAAACTCTCAGAACTGATGATGTAATCCCACACTCCTCATGTCTCCCTCCCTCTGGTGGATGGTGTCTACGTTTGTTAACACACACACACACACACACACACACACACACACACACACACACACACACACACACACACACACACACACACACACACACACACACACACACACACACACACACACACACACACACACACACACACACACACACACACACACACACACACAGCTTTGGATAAAGTCAAGGCAAGTAATGAAATCTCTGCTGATCTGACTAACACTAGAGGGCGCCAACTGCTGCAACACTCACACCTGCTGCCTCAACATGCTTTTCAGCCCTCATGGACACTGTCTCTAAACCAGGCAACATGGCAGGTCTCACTACTGTCTTCTATACTTTTCCTTTCATTCTTGCTGAAACTCGTTTTTACAAATCACACCTGACACTTCTTTTCCACCCTCTCCATTTGGACCGTAGACCCTAATAAAGTCCTCTATCTCCTTCACTTCTCATGTAGCTACTGGTGGGCAGAACCACTAACAACATTGATCATTATTCCTCCAACTTTAAGTTTCAGGCTCATCAGCCTATCTGACATTTTCACTTCCAGCACATTCCTGACTGACCCCTCTTTCAGGATAACTCCTACTCCATGACTCTTTCCATTCACACCATCACATAAACATCTATGAACACGCCTTCCTCCTCTCCTCTGTCCAACACCAGTCCAATTTCAACCATCATTCTGTAGGCCCACAGCAGCACTGGTGGAAGGAAATCCCTGTTTGGGATTTGCATGGTTGATTGGGCTTGGAGTTTACATCAGATGCCCCTCTGCATTTATCCAGATTGGGAATCGTTGGCTTGTGACAAACAAGCAGTCAAGGGTCACAAAGCTCCCGTTAGGCCAAAGTTAGCCTGGGAAAAACAAACACACACACACACACACACACACACACACACACACAGAGAGAGAGAGAGAGAGAGAAAGAGAGAGAGAAAAGGAGGACACTCACATTGCACTGTTAAGAAGGCAGAGGCAGACGGTGGTCGGCCCAGGCTATTGCTGGGGGCACAGGTATATTTCCCGGCATCCTCTGGCTTCACTTGTGCAATGATGAGGGAACCATCGATGAGAATACTGACTCTCCGCTTAAGGTCACTACAGATATGAAAACAATTATTGAGATTTCAGTCTTTAAAATCTAGAACCCTTATTTTCTTATTGGGGGACATTAAAACGTCACTATTTGCAATGAGCAAAACAAATCCTCGTTGTTTGTATTTTCATCGGTTGTACATGAACGTGAGAAAATGTCAGCAAGCAGCAGCAGGGGTTTGGTCCTCTTCAGAGCTCCATACATTCCTCACCATCATGGTGAGAGTCCAAACTCAGGACAAGCTAGACCAGGGGTGCCCAATCCTGGTCCTAGAGGGCCAGGATTGGGCACATTTGACTGGTTTCTCTGCTCCAACACACAAAATTCAGTGGTTGAATCACCTGTGCAGCAGCTCACCAAGCTCTGCAGAAGTCTGCTAAACACCTGTTGATTGAAATCAGGTGTGTTGAGGCAGAGTTACAACTAAAACCTGCTGGATACTGGCCCTCCAGGACCAGGACTGGGCACCCCTGAGCTAGACGGATCGTTATGGAATGCAAGATTTCAAAGAAGTTTCTCAGCGGATGGGAGCCGAAGGATTCGAGCGGACGTCAGAAAGGTGTCGGGGGCAAGTGGAAGAAATTAGAGCCCAATATAGAAAAGTAAAAGACGGAAACAACCAGAGTGGAGATGGAAGAAATACATGGAGGTGCTACGACATGCTGGATGCTATTTATAGTCACAGACCAGCAAACCGAGGCAGATCTGGACTCAGAGACCGCACTCTGGAGTCGGAGCCTGTTGGTAAGCACTTCTTTTGTGTCTTTAGCTCTGCAGACCATTTATTCTAGCAAAAAATACAGAATAGTTGCACAGCTTATTAATGAAATCATGCATGATGGTTCGTTTAGCCCTGCCTGCCGACATGAGAGCCCAAACTGCGATTGAACCTCCCTCCTGAAATTGCAGACCCATATCGGTACACGCAGGTCCACAATTACCCGCCCTGCTTCGCCTGAAACCCGTACAGTGGAGCCGAGGCTCAAGAAGCATATCCAAGTTCTGGAGTGACCTAGCCATTCTCCAGATCTAAATCCAAAAGAAAATCTCTGGATGGAGCTGAAACTCTGTATTGCTCAGTAACAGCCCTGAAACCTGACAGCTCTAGAGGAGATCTGTGTGGAGGAGTGGGCCAAGATCGCTGTGGCTATGTGTGCAGACCTGGTCAAGAACCACAGGAAGCATTTGGCCTCTGTCATTGCAAACAAAGGCTTCTGTGTTAAAATGAACTCAGACAAATACTTATGTGCAGCAGTGCAATACGAATCACTCATTTAAACATCATAGTGTGAGTTCCTTCATTTTCATGCTGTCTCCGTCAGTGGGAACGCACCTACAATGAGCTTCAGACCCTCCATGATTTTGTAAATGGGAGAACTTGTTAAATTGCAGCGTGTTCGTTGCATCTGCATACTCGTTATAAAAGCCGGCTTGTTTTCCAAACATTAACATTTATCGTACTTCCTGCTGAATCTGGGAAACAAGACAGCAAACCAAAGTGAATGTGATCATAGCATTACTTCTTAAAGAAGACATTGTCCTCCTCCCAGAACCAGCTGTAGGTCAGGTTGCGAGGATAGGCCTCCGCCTGGCACGTGAAGAAGGCATCCTGCGAGATGTTCACCGTTATGTTCTCTGGTGGTGAGATGATAAACGGAGGGCCTAGTGGAGAGCACAGGGAACAGGTGAGCACAACAACAGCTCCCTTCGTCTCACCCGACATGAGGAACGCACTTCAAAGGGCCGAAGGGAGATTTTAACCAACATCATAACATTTTTGTAGACAGGGAACTCATTTCTGCTAAAATGGGATTAGAAAATATACACCACTAAAGTTTATTGTAGTAACTTTAACCATCCAGCTGGATGTGCTGGTTGGTTATTGTTTTGGGTTTCTGTAACTTCCACATCTTGATATCCACCATGCTCTTTCCCCACTCTCTAAGCATCACTCGTTTTTATTTTGGTACTACTCTCTACTTAGGTCCGTCCACACCTCCAGATTTGTTTCACATCTGGGATGTCTCAAGTCTGCCACTGAAGGAGCTGTCCATATCCTCCAATAGGCAATTTAAGCAAATTTACAGAAAAGCATCAAAACAGTTTCATTATTCAAGCAGCGTGATAATTAAAGGTGATGAAGGTAGTTCTCCTGATTGCACCTTCAGATAGAAAATGTTCAGATGTTTTCCACAATTTAGACTCCTGGGGCCTCATTCATCAGACGTTCGTAGAAATATTCCCATATTTCTTCCTATGAACAAAATTTAGAATGTTGGTACAACACACAACACCCCATAATGATAATGTGAAAAAGTGTATTTGTTACTCCCCTCGAGTCTTAATAAAGCTCAACTTGTTCTTTGCTTTTACTGACATTTATTTCGGACAGGAGGATTCTTCGACATGCCTTAACATGTAATGATGTCCAACCACAACCGATACTATGCCGTCAGAACTAAAAAAAAAAGAAATACAAACTTAAATGAATATTCTTTAGAAAGTCCTTAAGCATTATATGACGAACATTTCAACAAATCTAGAATATCACGCAATACTGGCGTATTTACATACAACGATAATAAACAAAAGAAATCTTTTACCTCATTGGGAATAAAACTTTAATCCTTACACCGTGAGGTAGTCCAAAAAAAGCACTCTTTTATTTAGCTTACTGTAGATGTGCAACCTCGTGGCTCGTCTCTTAATTGCTTGCTGAGTGTGCCAAGAAAAAATGCCCCCTTAGCAACTACAGACAGAACTATAGAAAAGGTTCCCATCTAATTGCACAGTTAGCACAAATACACATTTAAACATATAAATCTAATGAACAGAACATGAATTACTATTGAAATATTATTTCTCAATATTTCAACTACTAATTGTTTCAACATTAAATCCAATAAAATGAACTTTAATGTGAGAGTTGCCTTTGACGGCAGCTACAGTATTTGAAGTTGTTGCAAATTTATTAAAGATAAAAAACTTGAGAAAATCACATGAACTTCAGTATTCACAGCCTTTAATCAGTACTTTGTTGATGCACCATTAGCAGCAATTACAGCTTCAAGTCGTTTTGAATATGATGCCACAAGCTTGCCACACCTATCTTTGGGCAGTTTTGCCCCTTCCTCTTTGCAGTACCTCTCGAGCTTCATCAGGTTGGATGGAAAGGGTCATTTTCAGAACTCTCCAGAGATGTTCAATGGGGTTCAGGTCTGGGCTCTGGCTGGGCCACTCAAGGACATTCACCGAGTTGTTCTGTAGCCACTCCTTCCTTTGGCTGTGTGCTTAGGGTCATTGTCCTGCTGAAAGGTGAACCGTCGCCCCAGTCAGAGGTCAAGAGCACTTTGGAGCAGGTTTTCATCCAGGATGTCTCTGTACATTGCTGCAGTCATCTTTCCCTCTATCCTGAATAGTCTTCCAGTTCCTTCTGCTGAAAAACATCCCCACAGCATGATGATGCCACCACCATGCTTCACTGTAGGGATGGTATTGGCTTGGTGATGAGCGTTGCCTGATTTTCTCCAAACATAACGCCTGGCATTCACTCTCACCAGACCAAAGGATTTTGTTTCTCATGGTCTGAGAGTCCCTAAGGGGCCTTTTAGCTAACTCCAGGTGAGCTCACATGTGCCTTTTACTAAGGAGAGGCTTCCGTCTGGCCACTCTACCATACAGGCCTGATTGGTGGATTGCTGCAGAGATGGTTGTCCTTCTGGAAGGTTCTTCTCTCTCCACAGAGGACCGCTGGAGCTCTGACAAAGTGACCATCGGGTTATTGGTCCCCTCCCTAACCAAGGCCCTTCTCCCCCTTTCACTCACCCTTAGATGGCCGGCCAGCTCTAGGAAGAGTCTTGGTGGTTCCAAACTTCTTCCACTTATGGATGATGGAGGCCACTGTGCTCATAGGAACCTTTAAAGCAGCAGAAAGTTTTCTGTAACCTTCTCCAGCCTTTTGCCTCAAGCCAATCCTGTCTCAGAGGTCTACACTCAATTCCTTTGACTTCATGCTTGGTTTGTGCTTTGGCATGCACTTCTTCTTCAATGAATTAGGCAGGCTGGACACCTAAAAGGCGTATTGCTGCCACAACAACTACTCTCACCGCCGTGTCTGCACAACCCACCACAAACAACAAGCACACGGACACCCCACCCTGTAGACCACCCAACCACCGCCAATACAACCCCTCCACCAACACACACCCTCGTAAACACACCCACACCCCACAGTGAGGCTCACCCCATGCTCATTCCCCCTCCCTCATCATCACCCACCACCTTGGGCGACTCTCGGTCCCCTGTAGGCCTAGAGCACCCAGTCCCCCGCAAGCACGCAGTCCCCCAAACTTCCTCAGTGGATACCTCACCGAAGCCCAGAAAGGCCCCTGCAGCCACAGCCACCTCGTGAGCCACATCAGACATGTTCGATGCCACATGCTTCACCCGCCACAATGCCTCCACCAGAAACGCCAGAAACTGTCTCTTATCCCTCACTACCACCACCCCTCATCCCCACCACCAGTATACCAAGACTCAGCACAAGGCCCCGACGTTCCCCCCCACCCCAAACCCCCACACAACGCACCACCTGAGCATAAGAAACCTTACGCTCTGCCTGATACTTCTCCACAGCCGTCCTATACGAAGCACAACCTCTATAAGCCGCCTGATGAGCTCCACCACAATTACAACAGCGGAGCAGAAGATCACAGTGCTTGCCCTCATGGTCGCTCCCATACCTCCGACACCTCAACCCGTCCACACATACTCCGGCCACATGACCAAAGCCCTGACACTTAAAGCACCTCAAGGGAAGCTCCTCATAGGCCCTAACTGGGAAACTAAGATAGCCCATCTTGACACGAGCCGGGAGTTCCACCGCGTCAAAACTAAACAATGGAGTGGACCCACGTTTATAAAACCCAAATGTCCACCACCTCCTCCTCAGCATCGTCATTAGAGACACCATAAGCCACCCCCTTAACCAACCCACCAGACCGTGATTCCAAGATGACACTCACCCCCAAGAACTTCTCAAGCTCCCGGGCCCGGTAGAGCTGGGTCTTCGTCCTACAGGCCACCAACAACAACCCACCATAAACAACCGTTGCGTCTGTCACATCACCAATCATCCCTCTCAGCTCCCTGGACACCGCTAAAGGGTTATTGGTAAGAAAACGTGCCCCACCCGCCGCACATATATGGACCACAATGCCCTCCTGTGCAGTCCTCAGCTGCTTCAGCTGCGGATCCCCAAGTTGCAGGAGTTGTAACCGCGGTCGGGACGGAGGAGAGGTTCCTGTCAGGAATAAATAAGAACTTTAATTTGATTAATCATAGAGTAACGGGTAGTTATTTACATTTACGTAGTCGTTCTTGTTGGAGTTTGTTTTATTAGGAAATGTTGTCTGAGAGTACAGCCTCTTCTGAGCTGTCATTCAGTCTGGTTGCCTTGACAACGCGTGTATGATCATGGAGCGGAGGATGTTCTGGGGGGTTTCTCGGTTTCAGGTGGTTTATCTGTCGATCCACAAAGGATCCTAAATCCCAGCACAGCTCCAAATGGATCTCCTGTCAGCGGCTCACACGAACACGTTTACCCGAGCCGCTTCACAAGGACAACAATAATAATAATAATAATAATTATTATTATTATTATTATTATTATTATTATTAGTATTAGTATTATTATTATTAATATATATATTATATATTTCATTAAAATTATTAAATACATCATAAAAATGGGAAGAGTAACAATTGTGATTACAAAAAACACGACAACCATTTCCTCAAAAATAAAAATATGCGTTCATCATTTTAGTGTATCTGATTTCATAAAGAAACAACCTCCTGCAATAAAAACATCCAAATTAAGGCTTTCCTTCTGAGGCGGATTCATTCATTGGTGTGACTTACTCTGTTACAGTGTGTGTGTGTGTGTGTGTGCATGCGTGCGTGCGTGTGTGTGTGTGTTGTGTGTGTGTGTGTGTGTGTGTGTGTGTGTGTGTGTGTGTGTGTGTGTGTGTGTGTGTGTGTGTGTGTGTGTGTGTGTGTGTGTGTGTGTGTGTGTGTGTGTGTGTGTGTGTGTGTGTGTGTGTGTGTGTGTGTGTGTGTGTGTGTGGCTGAAAGACTTTAAAGTTGAGCCTATTAATCTTTTTCCAGAGAAATAAACGAGCGCTCTGGCTCAGCACTGAGAACAGAGACATGTCAGCTCTAAATGCTATCGCTGTGTTGAATAAATGCACCAAACAATGAACATAAAACCTCGTTCCTGTTAGTGCGTTGCTGTAAGACAACAATGGCTGCTGCTGACAGCACCTACAGCAGGTGAGTGGGTGTGAGCATCCTCAGTATCGCCGAAGTTATCCTGAACATGGATCCACTGATGCTGTTTAAAACGCTATAGGAGACTACTGACTTCAGTTCCCTCAGAAACTATGAATAAATAACAATATTTTTTATGTTTGTTTGGGAAAATACATAAACGATTAAATAAAACCACCCCCAGTTCTACTTAGCTGATATATTTACTCTGAAGTTGCTGCAACATTTATGTTTAATGTGTTTCTTTGGACTTACTGCAAGACGAAATGACTGATATCCTTTTTTCTGTTTAAAACTTGACTTTCCCAATAACAGGTCGGGTGTATCGCTCATGTCCTAACAGCATCAGCAGGACTAACACAAACAGTGAACTTGCTTCATTTTCATAAGCAGACTTTGGATTTGGAACATTTTGCTTCATGTTCTGTTTTTCTGCTAGCCTGCCAAGCCAGACTTAATAAACATATTATTGTAACGTTGCAAAGCAAGAATTTAGTCCAGTTCACTAGGTACTATTCTGCACATCCATAGGAGAAAGCATTCTAAAAGAATATCCCTCTCAAGAATCCAGAATCTAAATCCAGCTCAGCATCCAGATGCATTATGGTAAAACCCGATATCAGGAACAGGTTTGCTTTAGTAACACGTGTTTATGCTTCAGGGTGTTCATCTCCATCTACATCCTCCTGGACTGATTCAGGAAGACTAAATTTATTTTGGTGTCTAAATAATGTAAAATGAGACCCAAACCTTGAACTAGCAGCCGTGTTGTGTGGACGGCCTCTCCCTGTGGGCTAAAGGCTCGACACATGTAGGTTCCTCTGTCTTCCCGGGTTATGGATAGCACCATCAGACTCCCATCAGAAACCTGAAAGACAGGAACCAGCCGGCTTTTTCAAAGGCAAAATTCAAAGTTCAGACGTTTAATGACACACGCCTGCATGCATGGATATTTTCAAACCCTAACATCTTAAATCTGTCCAGCTGCTCTTCTGGGCCCAGGCAGAACATCTGGAAGCTGGAGATCTTCCTTTCTACACGATCATATTTGACACAAAAATGACTAAATTTCTTATTATTTGTAAAAGCTGAATAAAAAGAGTGTTCTCATTTTAGAACTAAACCTTTTCAGTGTGGTCCTGATGCAAAATGACAGGGTTATTTAATTATTTCATAAATATGATAAATGATTCAACTGATCTGATCACAGCTTCTTCCCTTTAGCATTTGCTCTCTGGGGTTTTTATGAAACCAGAGAATGTTTGTAGATGAAACCCATCTTGCTGGCGTAGGTCGGTGACAACAAAAGGAGTTATCTACCTTGTACTTGGCACTGGTGATCAGCAGGCTGCCATCCCGCAGCCAGCTGACAGAGGGTTTTGGGTTGCCAAATGCTGTGCAGGTCAGCGTGATGCTCCCCCCTTCCTTGGCCTCGACGTACTGAGGTGGTGTGTCAGTGAATGTGGGAGGGGCTGAGGAGTCCAGGGAAGAGAAAAAAGATGTTGTGAGATGAAACTGAAATACATCGAGCTTAGAAGGAAAAAGAGTAGAATAGACGTGTTTTTATTCTGTTAGCAGACGGGTTTTTTCCCAAGAGTGACTCGCATATTAATCCCAATATTCATGTTTTTGGTCTGTGGGAGGAAACTGGAGAAAACTCGCACATGCACGGGGAGAACATGCTAACTCTATTAAGAAAGGAAGTAGCTGGGGTTTGAACCTACAACCTTGCTGTAAGCAACAGCGCTACTAACCGCTCCACCGTGCAGCCACTTGCTAATGTCTCTGGTATTGAAGGTATTGAAACAACTGAGCTGCAGGGCGGTTGGCCTGACCGTGACTTTCCGGTGGACATGTACGCGTCATGTAACGTCCACAATGCATAGGACGCAGCCCATCCTGATCTAGATGAGGAAGGAGCTCAGGGAATGAGTTCTTTACTGTAGAACAGGGAAATGAGGGCCTTGGCTCATAGGCGAAAATCCCAGAGGGGACTCTGGCATAAAGCTGTCCGCCCAAAAAAATTGAACATATAAACATCTTTAACAGTGATATAGTGTTGTCCAATGAAAGCAGAGCGCAACCAAAAAACCACTAATCCTCAAATCGGTACAGTCCACAAGCTGCTCCGATGCTCGTGGAGTTGGGAGCGAGCAGGATGAGAGAACCAGTGAGTTCATTACCACACCACTTGCTGAACAGGTGCTGAAAAACTCATTTTTCTCTGCTAAATGTTGTTAATTTCACAATAAAACATCCCTGTTAAGGGGCTGCAGCTCGTCTCCCCACTGGAGTCTCACAGTTGATCAAAAATTCTCCAAGTTGGCAGACTAAGAAAATGATTTACTGATATGCATCTCTAAGCTGGTTTTTCAGTTAACTTGCTCATGCTGGAGGCCCATCCTGCAAGTTACAAAACAGCTGTCACCATATGAGGTCACCATATCAGCTAACTGTGAGCTCAATTTCAGGTGAGCGGTGCTGAGCTGGGACAGCTGATTCCCAATCTGCAAGGATGACCTATTTAAGGAGCACACAGACGACACCTAGACGCCGGATGATTACTCACCTTGGGTACCAGCAAAAGAATGGTCTAAAGCCACATTTGAGTCTTCTAAGAAGCAATTTCGAGATTCTAACCTGTTCCCCTATCTCCAGCAACAATCCACCAGTCAGCAATAACTTCCTGGACCTCTTTCGAGCCACATATCTGTCTGCTACCCGTCTGCCAGCTCTCCCACCGCTCACCTCTCCTGGACCCCTGGCTGTTGCCTTTCGAGTGGTCTCACCCTTTTCCTGGAGCTCACCACCTCCTCAGATTCATCCTCGCTCCCCCACCAAGCTTCCCGCTACCCACAACAGTAAGCATCAAATCTCGCCTCACACCACCATGCTGTTTGACAGTTGAGTAACCCCCCTTTGTTTTCCAGAGTCTCACAAGCCTGAGATCAACCACCACACGTCGTGGTGAACCTTTAGTTTCTCTGTTTGCTTTCACTTCCTGGGTCATGACTGATTCTTCTTCATCATCATCATCATCAACCTTTATTTATAAAGCACATTTAAACGGCGACAACGCCAACCAAAGTGCTAACACGACAATACGTCACCAAACTAGATACAGCAATATAAAATAGATAAAACAAATAAAAACTATAAAAACAAAATAAAACAGGAAAGCACAAGGGTTAAACAGTCTCAGCCGGGAAGGCCAGGGAATAGAAATATGTCTTCAAACATACTTTAAAAGTGGGAAGGGAGGGGGCAAGTCGGACCGTCAGGGGGAGTTGGTTCCAAAGTTTAGGCGCACAAACTAAAAAAGCCCGTTCGCCACGGGCCATATAGCAGGCAGGAGGGACAAGCAGAAGGCGCTGGTCAGAGGACCTCAGGGTTCACTCCGGAACATAGGAACTCAAAAGATGTGCCAAATAGGAGGGGGCCATTTCATTAATAGATTTGTAAACCAACAGGAGAATTTTGAACTTCATCCGAAACCGAACTGGAAGCCAGTGTAAATTTGCCAAAACAGGGGTGATATGCTGCCGTCGGTCTATGCCCGTAAGAAACCTTGCGGCAGCATTCTGAACCAATTGGAGGCGTACCACTGAAGAGGAGGGAATACCATATAAAAGTGAGTTGGCATAGTCCAGACGTGACGTTACAAAGGCATGAACAACTGACTGAATATTGTTTTTGTTCAGGACAGATTTTAGTTTGGCCAGCCGGCGAAAATGAAAGAAACACGACTTGACTACCTGATTTATCTGTGCATCCATTAAAAAAAAAGCGCCCAGAGTGACCCCCAAATTTGTAATTGTCGGCTTCACCAAAACTGAAAATGAAGGGGGCAGAGATGGCTCCACAGCAGTGGGGGAGCAGGGGGCAAAGAGAATAGCCTCCAGTTTGGAGCTGTTAAGATAGAGAAAATAAGCCGAGAGCCAGGACCTGACTTCACTCAGGCAGTCAGTCAGTGGTTGCACAGGGTCAGCACATTTTAGGGCCAAAGAAAGCTGACAATCGTCAGCGTAGAGATGAAAATTTACCCGGAATTTTCTAAAAATGGCTGCCAAAGGTAAAATATATAGATTAAAAAGAAGTGGACCTAAAACGGACCCCTGGGGAACCCCACAAAAAAGAGGCGCCACTCTAGAGGCACAATTCCCGAGGGCAACATTAAAACATTTGCCATTGAAACAGGAGCGGAACCACTCTAAAGCTGTTCCACGAATGCCAATTAACTGCTCCAGTCGCTGTAATAGGATTGCGTGGTCGACAGTGTCAAAGGTGGCAGATTAGTCTAAAAGCACCAACAACACATGAGAACCAGAATCAGAGGCAAGCAAAGTATCATTAAGAACATGAATAAGAGCAGTCTCAGTGCTGTGGTGAGGGCAAAAACCAGACATAAAAATATCTAAAACATTGTTGGATGTCATGAAATTAAAAATCTGGATAAAAACCATCTTCACCAACAATTTGAAGAGGAAAGAGAGCTTAGATATAGGACGGTAATTGTTCAGGTCGTTAGTGTCCAAGCCTTGCTTTTTTAGAACAGGCTGGACCACCGCATGCTTAAACTCCTGGGGAACAATCCCCGTCCTAAGGCTTGCATTAAGGATCTCCAGGATCAGTTGAGCAATTACTGGGAAGACTTCCTTCAGGAAGCGAGAGGGCATAAAATCACAAGGAGAGCCAGAGGGCTTCATAGCATCCACTGTCTTCCATAGAGAGGAAGCAGAGACAGGGGGAAACGCTCAAAGGAATATAATGGAGAACAAACAGGGGCTTCTGGGTGAGAGGGAGGCAGAATCTGAGCCCTAATTGTGGCAACTTTAGTGATAAAAATAATGCAAAAATTGGGTGCATCTTTCCTCAGACGTATTAAGCAGAGGAACGTTGGGTGACAAAAGTGCATTAACACTGGAGTAGAGGACTCGCTGGTTACCCGAATATTCGGAAACAATGGCAGCAAAATAGTCAAAATGGGCCTTTCGAACGACGCGTTGGTAACGCCTTCAGGCCTCACGGAGAAGCTGGAAGGAAGCCGGAGATTTAACCTATATCCACCACCACTCACATCTCCTACATTCCCATCTAGCAGTACGGGTATGAAGGTTGAGCCAAGGGTCAGAGCGACAGCGGGAACGTCGCGATCTTAGAGGGGCAATCTGATCGAGCACGGAAGTGCAAGAGGCAGAAAAGATGGATAGGAGAATCTCAGGATCAGAAGAATCCTCATAGGAAAACAAAGAATCTGAAAATAAAGCAGAAAACTCAACAATTGAGGAAGGGGTAATGCGGCGAGCATGGCAAATCCCCACCTGCCTAGGAGAGACAGGCCGGGCCACATCCACAGAAAACAAAACAGGAACATGATCAGACAGAGAAAAAACATCAGGTCGAACCTCTGTTACATTAACACCAAAAGAAAAAACTAAATCCAATATGTGAGACCCCCCATGATTGGGGAAGTCAACCAACTAAGTCAGTCCACAAGAGTCAATTCAATTACAAAAATCAGCCACCAGGAACCTTCATGTCCTGGGTCAAACACCTCCACCCAAACAGGAAAACAGCAGGAGACAGACATGTTTTTATGTCCCTGCCCAAAAATTACTCTCTGAAATATTACTGCTTATTGTCCCTCCCCCTAAAAAATGAAATGGGATTTTGCCAGGTGATGCTTACCATTGACAGTTAGATGCACCCAGCTGCCATTGTGAAAGATGTCATACTGCTGCTCCAGCATCAGAACTTTACACTCGTACCAGCCTTGGTCGTCTGAATGCACGTTCTCTATCCGAAGGGAGGACTTGCCATGCAGACTGGCTCGACCTGGTGGAGAAACATCACAGAGAAATCCCACAGGGGCAAAAAAAAAGAATAGGTCTATGATAAACATGAGGAGGAAGTAGAGAAGAAAAGCTGAAGTAGAAAACGTGCCTTAAATTAATTTACAAAACATCAGTTCTGGGTTAGAACAATTACTGGAGAATTACACACACACACACACACACACACACACACACACACACACACACACACACATATTCTTTAGCTAAGGATTTAGATGATGTGTTTTTTTTTTATTTGATCCAACAGCTCCTTTTCACACAGTATTGGATGACATCACCGCATAGAGCAGTGATCCTTGACTCCCTTCCTCGAGGGCCGGTGTCCAGCGTGTTTTACTGTTTTCCTGCTTCAACACACCTGATTCTAGTGAGCAGGTGTTTAACAAGCTTCTGCAGAGCTTGATGAGCTGCTGAGAGGGTGAATCAAGTATGATGGATTAGGGAAACCACTAAAACATGCTGGATACCAGCTGTCAGGGAAGGAGTTTGGGGATCACTGGTCTAAAGCTTTGGGTACAGAGACTACAGGGAGGTCCTCCAATGGGTACGTTCGTACCTGCAAGACAGGATTTTTGTGTCATGATGGGTGAAGCTTCAACCCCCTGCGACGGTGGCACAGGAGTTAAGTGCTCACCCTGTAATCGGAAGGTTGCAGGTTCGAGTCCCCGCTCTGTCTGTCGCTGTCGTTGTGTCCTTGGGCAAGACACTTAACCCACGTTGCCTGCTGGTGGTGGTCGGAGGGACCGGTGGCGCCTGTGCTCGGCAGCCTCGCCTCTGTCAGTGGGCCCCAGGGCAGCTGTGGCTACATCGTAGCTCATCCCCACCAGTGTGTGAATGTGTGTGTGACTGGGTGAATGACTGATTGTGTTGTAAAGCGCCTTGGGGGGTTCCAGGACTCTAGAAGGCGCTATATCAAATACAGGCCATTTACCATTTTTACCCTGGGAGACACTCTGATAGGGGGAGCTAATTCAGTCTTTGTGTGACGACTGTAAGATCTACTTCCACCAGGGGGCAAGTGGCTCCATTTCACCACTATTGATCTCTGAAGGATGATAAGTCCTGGTCGGCCTCAAACATCTTGCATCTAAATGAGAGCAAAATGAAGTGATAATCTTCAGCCCCAGTGAGAAAGCTGGTCTGGATCCTAATGTTGACCTCGCCTCACTGGCCCCACAGGAAAAGATGGTCAGTACTAACAAGGGGTAAAAATTATGTAGCCCTCTAATTTGATGCAGTTAAAACCATTGTACAGTCTTGTTATTTCAACTTGAAAAGGCTTTCCAAGGCTACCCTCTCGTTCACTGTGGTAAGCTCCAATGTACAGGCACCAAGATAGTATGGCCACCCCTGCCCAGTGCTTCTCATTGGGAGCAACTCCAGAGTAAAACCCCTCTTAAAGGCACAACTTCGTAGCCTGGTGAACTAGACCCAATTCTTGCTTTGCAACGTTTGGTCTAGGAACGCTCCATTGGAACCTCCACAGCCCCTAGCAGCATTCTGGCTGGCCAGTCACAGCTCTCTAGATGGGTTTCAATCCTTTAGGGAGCTGTGATTGGTCTACAGTGGTGGGCCAATCACAGCGCTCTATCTGCTTTGTGGGCCAATCAGGGCCCTCTATTCGTCTGGTGGGCGGGATGATGCAACAGAGTGGAATAAGATGGCGACAGCTAGTTTGAAATGGCTTTTACATCAATTTTGGACTATTTGGACTTGGGCATTATTAGAATCAGGAGCAGATAGATGTACTTCAGCCATGTGCTGAGGTGAGTCCAACTATATCTAGCCAGAACCTCTCAACCTCACACACCAACTCATTAAGGGTAGAAACACTCTAATAATAACACCACAGATGTCTTTACTTTTGTTTTTTTATATTAAAATGTGTTTCTTTTACAGGAAATTGTTTCCAAGGGTTAACTTGCATGACCCATGCAGATAAGTGGATCATCGTTCCAGGTTAAAGTTTTAAACTGGTGTGTCTAATGTGTGCAGCCATGATGTCCACCGATCTTCACCAGCAGAGTTTTACATTTATAAAAGTCACATTTGTGTGATTTCCCATGAAGCTTCTATGTGTTTCTGTTCTTTTTCACCATGTGCACAACGTGTGCTTGCCATGAAGCCGAGTTCCCACTTGTAGTCTCCAACAAGTATATTGGTCTAAATCCTGTAAAGGATCGATTATTTTATGAAATGATTGAAAATGGTCCATGTTTTTTTGTTTGTTTGTTTGTTTGTTGTTTAATTTGTGGCACATCTAAGGATCAGTTTTAAAAAAGTGAAGCATTTTTATTATGTATTCTGATCACTTCTCTGGCTCACATTTGGTGAAATTAAAAAAAAAAACATTTACTCAAAAAATGTTTCTACAAAAATTAAGAATTTGGGATTGTTTATTTTGCTATTTATCACATAAGGTGTGATTTTTGTGAATGAAGTCACCACAGAAACTTTCATCTTCCTGAAAGTGTGCCTCTCTCGTCCCTCACGGTTAAAAATACTTTTCCTAAGACTGTCTTGCAGTTTTTGAACAGCTTGTTTTTTTCTTTTGGAGGCCTTCTCTGTGTTAGGCTTCTTAATTAAAAGGTGAGACTTTCATGGCCCCTTTCTGCTTCCCGACACAGGTGGGAAAATCCACCTCTCTTGATTGGCTGTGGCTGCAGGATGAGGGAGTGCACACATACACAGTTACCATGGTAACCACAGGAGCCTGCAGCACATGCACTCTCTGCCCAATGAAGTTAGCTCACTGTATCAGCTTGAGTGCAGCCAAAACAGAAAATTGCATCCTAGAAACATGTACATGAAAACAATCTGCTCGAGGATGAGATGTGTTATTATGTTCAGTAATGTTTGAGTTTCCATGGCAACGCAGTTCACAGAAAGCTAATTCAAACATCCCTGAACTTACGACTTCAAATCTCTAATTAACTTTCTGCTTGAACCTCAACGTCTCTTTAGCTAGAAACACCTAAATGGTCACATGACCTCGGACTGTAAAACGGACTGCTGTTCATCCCGCTCCTCCTCACTCGGGCTCTCTGGTGATGGCGAAGCTTCACGAAACTCCCTCATAATGTCTGCAGCCTATTGTAGCTCAGAATGTTGTCAGAGACATTCATGCCTGCTTCCCTCCTCTTCATCGTTTATCATGTGTCTGGAAGAGGCTTTGATGGGCCACAAAACTAATATTTAGAAAATTGCAAAATCGTTTTTCAAGTTTGCTCAAATCATGCTGTTATACACGGAGCTGCATTTCACAAGTGAATGTGTTCATCATAAAATAAAACAACTTAGTATGAACTGTTGATGGATTAGGAGCATTTCTCAGGGCTGTAATGAAGATGTCACACTCTGCAGGATGGAGCCACAATGTAACTGTATGTAATAGATTACCAGCATATTCTGGGTCCACATGAGGAGGGTAGAAGCGAAAGTTGATGAAGAAAGGGATTGACATTCCATACTTGAACCACTCCACCACATAGGGTTGTCCATTCAGGGGCTGAGACACGTCGCATCTCAGGATGATGCTCTCTCCTGCACGTGCTGTCACAAACTGGGGCTCCCCTCGCACTCCGTGGGCACCTGAGGAAAAGTGTGCACAGGTCAGGTGCAGAACTCTACACCAAATAGCAGAAGACCTGGTTCCTTCCTGGATCGTCTGCTCTGCTGTGGGATTCCCAATTCTCTGGGTTTGGTTTACAAAAGCTCAAAAGATTCAAGAAGTGTTACCACTCACATAGCCAGTTCAGATGAAGATGGAAAGATCAATGAGGTTGTTTATTTAATTAATTAGTGACATAATCCATGGAAACCCTTCAAAGTAAAAGAAATCTCACAAATAAAAAACCTGAGTCAAACACACGGTAGGAGTAATGCAGATGGAATCACACATGTTCAAGATGGAAAAGCTGCAAGAAACAAACCAAGTTTCACCCATAAAGAGTTTCGGTGTAAAAACAAACGGACAGCAGCACAAAAACAGTAAAAGAGAAGATTTATCTCAGAGAACTTTGTAAAGAGAAACTACTATAAAAAAATGTGTCAGTAATACACATTCTTGTAAAAATGATCTCAGCCATCAATGTTTTCTGAAATGATCCATTACTTTCTGAGTCACAGAGCACATCTTACAGCTTCTCAAGGTCTCCAAGCTAATTTCACGGAGACTAAAGCCAAAATAGCATCAAAACACGACAGCTGCAAAGGAGCTTCTCAATAATCACTTGTAATCTCACTGTAGTCAAGGTCTTAACTTTTTATGAATGTAACTTCATCTAGATTAGTATCTGCACCCTTGGTGCCTCAGAAAGTAAGTGTTAGGGGTAGATAAACAGCTCTATAAGAAGTCATGTTAAAACTGATAGGCCTGCCCAGTCTCTCAGCCTCTCCAGTTGCAGGTGATGGTCAACAGTGTCAAAGGCTGCAGTCAGGTCCAGCAGGACCAGAACAGAACAGTCCCCTGCATCACTGTGAGTCAGAAGGTCATTAGAGACCCTAAGAAGAGCTGTTTCAGTAGAATGAGCTCTACGAAAACCTGACTGGAAGCTATCATAGATGTTATGTTCACCAAGAGCAGCTGTGAGTTGTTTAGCCACAACCTTTTCCAAGATTTTGGAGATGAACAGAAGTTTAGAGATGGGTGTGAAGCTGCTATGGAGAGAGGCGTCAAGACTCGGTTTTTTAGAAGCGGGTGGATTACAGCATTCTTAAAGTAAGCAGGGACCTGACCAGAATCCAGAGAAGCATTAATTATAGAGAGCACGCTGGGACCGATGGACTGAAAAGCACTTTTAAACAAAGATGAGGGTAAGATGTGGAGGGGGCACGCAGAGCTTTGTTTTGCTTTTCATTTAGCAGGTTGTTGTCATTGGGTATAGTTTAGGTAGAAAACGTGGATTCTATCATTTAGATGAATCTCCTTACGTTAAGTGAATATTAAGCATGTTTTTGGAAGAGCTTTGTTGCTGGAACTGCTCGTGGACCCGGTACCGGGTTCAAGTTGTGAGATGCATAGAAATGGCACTTTAGAGCCTCCTAGTGGTCATATCTGGATGCAAAAATGTTCCCAACCAAATAAAAAAATTCACCAGCTGCCACTGGTGGTTGGCTGCATATGGTGGGTCCTGTGGAGAATTAAACACAAGCTACAGGACCTCTAAAGGAAGCCCAAGTCCCCTCCCCTTCCGGTCGGCTCATGGGTCCTGAGAACAAAGGAAAAATGAATGTAAGTCAACGGGGTCAATTTTTGACCCGCCTTGCCTTATGCCCTTAATCACACATACATTACTCCACGTTCAGACCACTCGCTTTTGTTTCTGCCTCTCTGGACATAAACCAGCCTGTTCCAAAACTGTCCTGAATCATGAGGACAGCTTCAGGAAACCATGCAGTGTTTTTATCTCAGAGTAGCTTTCATGCTCTTAAATGCAGATAAACGGAGACGGAAGTGATGCCATCAACATTAGCCCTACTCTGACAAAGGCGACAGCGAGAGCCAAAACATGTCAGCAAAAGGAAGAACAAGCTCCGTTTCCTCTGTGATTAGTGATGAACCAGAAAATCGGAATCAGATAAGGAACACAGAATGAACGTTACAAAGATGTACAAGGAGGAAATGCAGATCAGCATGAGAGAAATGCAAAAAAAAAAAAGCAGCCACGAGGGAGACAAGGTCATGGGGCAGCTCTTCTGTTTGTGCACATTTTGTCCAAAGTGTAACACTTATATAAAATATTAGGAGTAAATCCAGCAGAGTGCATGGACAAGTCCCTCACAACCACATAAAACATGTGGTTGTTTGTCTTGCCAGAGCCAGAGCCGGTTTGGTTTCATTATTAAGCTGCTTTGGCTAAAGGTATCAGCCAAATGCATTAACAGAAGCTCCTCCAGAGAAACCTGAGCATTCCTATACAGGGAGCAAGGTCAGCTATTCTAAACATGACTGTGAGTTCATGTAGCGCTGTCATTCACTGATCGTGTGTTCTGCCTCCCAAACACTTTACAGTTTGGTGCAGCAGCCGTTGCTCACATACAGCACTGTGGAAAACTATTAACCCCCCCCCCCCCACACACACACACACACACACACACACTCCAACAGATTCCTTCTGTTTTTGCTTTTATGTCAAACTTCAATGTTTTAAATCAGCAAACTAACGTCCGTATCAGACAACCTAAGTAAACACAAGATGCAGTTTTCAAAGGATTATTTAACTTTTTTTCCCAATCAGCCTGGTGTTGTGGGAAAAGCTAACGGACACCTAAACCCTTTTCCTTGCCGAACCCTTAAAGTTAACTCAGCCCAGCTCAGTGTGGGTTGCTTTTCCAGGTTAAAGCTGTTATGGCGAACCTGCAGACAACGTGGTTCTGAACACAAACTGGGGACAGAACACTCACCCTTCCCCTTGGGTATCTTCCCTGGATCCACGTCCACCCAAACTGGAAACCCACTGTGGCGGTGTTTACAAGAGGAGGGGCCACTGGGAGTCAGCGGGCGATTATAAGGGACAACGCCGTGGCTACGAGACAGAGACGGAGTGCAGACGCGAGGAGCTGGGTTTGCTCCCGTCTGCTGTGAGCGTGGCAGCTACACTGTACCTGTGTGTTCAGGTGAAATAAAGCTTAGTTAAGAAGCAGAAAGGTGTGTGTGTTTGTGTGTGTGAACCCCGTGGTAACGAGTCTGTTACATTTGGCACCAATGTGGGGCTCACACACACCTCCCCGACATGTAGAGGCCTGAAGGCAGAGGACTCCGGCACCATGCAGTCGCAGACACAGGACGCATCAGGCCCGCCTGTTGCTGTGTTAAATGGTACTGAATGTCCTGTATTTGACTTCTAGATTCCTGGAACCCCCCAAGGGGCTTTACAACACAATCAATCATTCACACGCTGGCGGTGATGAGCTACATTGTAGCCACAGCTACCCTGGGGTGCACTGGCAGAGGTGAGGCTGCTGTACACAGGCACCACCGGTCCCACTGAAGACCACCAGGGTTAAGTGTCTTGCCCAAGGACACAACAACAGCAACAGACCGAGTGAGGCTGGAACCTACAACCTTCCGATTACAGGGCAACTACTTAACTCCTGTGCCACCATCACTGGATGTTAGCACACATGACAAGGCTGAACTGTGAGGCCATGGATCGCTGGAACGAGTGGATGGGAAGCCTGTACAGACGAGCGGAGCAGCAGACAGAGGTTCTGTGGTGGTTGGGGACCCAGACCAGGAGAATGGTGCCAGTCGCAACGGCGTGGAACCCCATCTCCATCCTGGTGCAGCAGAGGGGGACCACAGAGAACCACCTGACAGCCCTGAGGCCCGAGAAGACACCAGAACATCAGATCCTGGCTTGTCCCAGCGCTGCACCAACGCTGACCTCTCGACGCAACCTGTCGGCATACAGAGAGCAGAAGCCCTGGACGCAAGCTCGCTCCCTCATGGCTGAAAGTGCGGCAAGGCGGGACTGGGATGCTACTGGGACTACTCAGTGTCGGAAACAGAAACAGTAAATTAACCCTCTCAGGCTCTAAATAAGTGTTGATAAAAGGACGAACAACTAAGTCCTTCAGGGGTACTTCTGAGTTAAAACATGCTCATGAAATACGTACGTGGAGTAACCAGGTAGGTAGGTTTTAACGCTGCAAACCTGCAACGCCTGCCTCCAGAGGGTTAAAAGTTCTGTCGGCCCAAACAGCACGCCAGCCTAACTGGTAAATGATCGGCGTGTCAGATTGCCAGACCATCAACCATCATGGCTGGCTTGAGCCAGTTTTTAAGGACAAAAATCACAGAGAAAGGATTTTTTACTTGTTTTTTATCATAACGGGTCACTCTGAGTTTAACACGCAGGCTGAACATGAAAATAGTCTCCTACACCTATTTCCTGCATTAGCTGCTGATAGAAAACAGACGGTGAAACTCTACGATTAGAAAAGCCTGACAGATCTACGTCACCTCTACGTAACACTCATGGACTCATCCATCATGGCTGTTGTTGGTTTACCTGCTGGAGGCTTAAATCAGAATCAGTGGGTGTTCAACGAAGATCCTGCCTTTCTTGTCTCTGATTGGCTGGAAGGGCTCTCCTACGATTGGCTATTTCATGTGACAGCATATCGCGTTCCCTCACTAGGTGCAGGATTTTTATGCCTGCAGCCAGAGTTTGAGGAGTTTTGTGAAGACAGTCTGAGCCCACTCTGTTCTACGAGCTGTCCTGATGTCACACATGCGTGAAACGTATCTGACAACATAACCAATCCCATCATCGCTGCAGGTCCTACCTGCAAACATTCAGATGTATTTAAGAGTAACAATATATAGGGAGGGTGACAGAAAACATTACTACCAAGTCACTTTTGTACTTATTTACTACCCTCCAATGGTGTTAACTAGAGCTGATTTAATCTACCAGCTTTTACTACCCTGTGAAACGTTTAAATAATCTTATGGATTACTGCATTTAGAAAGCTGTCGTTGTGCTCTCTACGGAGTGTCTTTGCACTCTAAGACTAAGAGTGTATCAGGAGACGTTGGTGGGTTTTAACCCTCTGGAGGCAGGTGTTGCAGATTTACAACGGTA